CAGAGATTCCAGGCTCCACAAGGTGACTAACATGTTTATTCATAATCTAGCATTGACTGACATCGCCATGGCGATGACAAGCATGCCATTCTGGATAGCGAGTCTGTCCATGAATACCTGGAAACTCGGTCAAGTTTGGTGTCAGGTAGTAGGATCAACATCACATATTTTGGCATCTGCATCTATATTCACGATAGCATTGATAGCATTCAATAGATACATAAAAGTCGTAAAACCCACCCTGAACAGAAAAGTATTTCCCAGCAAAAGAGCAGCTCGGCTGTATTGTGTTTTCGTGTGGCTGGTTTCCATTTTTCTGGCAACGCCTTATCTTTTTGGATGGTCAGCGGTATCATACCATAAGAAACTTGCCATCTGTATCCCAGAGAACAATGTATACAAAATAACTAGCGCAGGTGGGATTCTTATCGGACTCACGATCATAATTTTTTATTGTAACTTCAAAGTCTACAAAGCTGTCAGAGAAAGCACGAGAAATTTAAACGCGCACGCTGAAGAAAACGGAGTCCGCTGTGCAAATGATTCTTGCCGTTCCAATATGGCCGACCTAAGTGTTTTAAAGACATGTGTCACCGTGGCCTGTTTCTTTGTGTTAACATGGTCTCCAATCTCCATTGTCACCGTCATTTGGACTCTTGGGTTTGATATTCCTCAAACGTTCCATACAACAAGTGCTTACCTGGCGTTCTCCAGTAGCCTAGTAAATCCAATTATATACGGATTTATTAATCCGCAGTTCAAAGTGGCTTTCAAAAAGGCACTGAGTTGTAGTCGTTTTGGAAACGGTAACACAGATCAGAATCACTCAAGGAATGAAGTAAGACGGGAGGTTGCAAGAGGATTAGAGACTGCGGCATAATAGACATTTGTTTTATGTTCAAGACTGAACCGTACTCGCAACTTCCATTTGTTCTTTACTACTTCAGTACAATGTATCACAAGCCTCGGTAGAACTTGCTAAAGGCAGTTACACATCGTTATCGGAATTTATTTTAAGAGCATTTTAACGTTGAATGCAACAAAATTACCAGAGATGTGAGAGATTTGTTAGTGTCAATTGAGGGTTTTCACAGTTTCCCACTTCATCACCTCATTAAGACAAAATAAGAAGGCTGTAGGGCCTGAAAAAAACCGAGTTTTGATATTTTTTGAAATTTTTGTTCTCTCGGAATTGGTTTGTTCATATGATAAGGTAAATAAATACGCAAAGAAAAAAGTTCATATCATAAGCTTATTAAGTTAGAAGTCCTTTTTTTTCTATCGATAATAGAGATTCTAATTATTGAGACAACACGACAGACGTTTTTAGTTTACTTTATGAATGAATCCATTTGATAGTTGTCTGGGGATTAAAGTGAAGCTAGAGGCAAACATGAATTTTTTAATTTGTATTACCTTTCCTTAAGTTTTTTTGTATCATCAGCTTTAATTAAATATTTATAAAGCTCGTGTAACAAAATCTAAAAAAAAAAAAAAGAAAAAACTTGCCTTCGTTACTCTCATGCATGCTTGTCATTTATACAAGTTCCTCTGTGTAAGGGATAGATTTGTTTGGCCAATAAATGATTACAGCAATTAATATAAATGAATATAAAAAATGTTTGTTTTTCTAGGCGATGATGCTCATTTGGAAACTATGTGGTTTTTTTGGAGAAATATATTTTTCGTCTTATCACAAGCGTAGGACAAAAAAAAAATTCTGAGTCCCCACGATGAATCTAACCTCAGACCATCGATGCTCTGCCATAGAGCCACAGAGACTCTTCGGTGAGCGAGGTCTATTACGAAGTTCATATGACACGCGTCCCACATACTGCTAGGATCACCAATAGTCGATGGCGTCCTGTTTGTAAATAGAATAAGAGTTCGGTAAAGAAATAGAGAAAGATGTTTTTCGTCTTGTCTCGTGACAAGACGAATGACGTATTTCTCTATTTCTTTCGTCTTGTCTCGTAACAAGACGAAAAACATTTATCTATATTTCTTTACCGAGCTCAAAACTTACAATCTCTCTTATTATATGTTTACCTATAATCTGGCATTGATTGATATTGCCACGGCATCGATGAACATGCCATTCTGGATAGCGAGCCTATATACAGGAACTTGGAATTTCGGCCAAGTGTGGTGTCAGTTGTGCGGATCTGTTTTTCTATTTTGGTTCATGCCTCCATATTTACGATGAGACTGATAGTCTTTAATCGATGCATAAAAGTCGTAAAACCCAGCTTGTACAAAAGGTACTCTCGTTTGGCTGTTTTCCATTTTTCTCGCCACACCTTATCTTAGCGGATGGGCAAGGGTATCATATCATACGAAATTCGCCATTTGAAACCAAGAGCCCGATGGAGCGAAACGCGAGATTGGACGGAGATTAGAGACTGCGGAGAATGCGGAGACGACATTTACGCATGAAAACTAATCATCAGTGCTGCTTGCTAGACTAGAGACTACGGCATAACTGACATTCCTTTTTTTTTTTTTTAACAAGATTAAATTAAGACAACAAAACTGATTATTAGGACTACATAGGCAGTAGCTGTAAGTTATTCCAGTTTCAGTATTCAAATCAAAAATTAAAGCTGAAAGTGTTTTTCTGCTTTGTTGCTGCAGAGAAAATGCTATGAATGATTTCGACTTTGTGGTACATAGTGTGAGAAAAGCCTGTCAGCTTACTTTCCATGGCTTTTATTTGTTTTGAGGCTGCAAACATTTTAATCTCCAAAGTTGTAGTCCCTTTCTAGAAGTGCTATGTTTATTATTATTTAAATATTTACGCAGAGCGCGGGAAGGAATATTTACAAACAATTTACGAAACTGTCAGATGTGCGATGTTAACTTTTTAAGTTTCTCTTGTGTGAAATTGCTCTGGGGAACAGAACAGTTTTAAAGCTGAATCGGACTTTATTCTGTACACGTGTCGCAGTCGAATACTTTCATATCAAATCGTTGCTTAATGGTAGCATATTACTAGTTTTTCACATATCCCGTGCCAAAAAAAATAAATAAAAAAAAAAAAAGATTTATATATATATATATATAACTTATCGCCATAAAACGCTTCCGAAATATAATGTCTTTCCAGCCACTTTTGGCTTCAAAATGGTTGCAAAAACCGAAATTATTCTGGGGTAATTTAGTGTTATCAACTGAGTTGATAATGTAAGTTGGCCACCGTAAAGAGTTAAAAGGCTCACGTTTTGAGCGTTAGCCCTTTCGATCAATCGCCCTGACGAAGGGCTAACGCTCGAAATGTCAGCCTAAATTACCCTGTTATACTCTCCCACCTACGCAGCACCACAGTTTATTTAGAAACTTACCCCCGAAATTATTTTGGATAACTAGCTAGGGATTTCTATCAAGATGATCCTTGATCAGTGTTATGGAAAATGTTTTTGTGCATCTTCACTGTTGTGCATATAGTTAAAGATTAATTTAACCGCTCGTTTCAAGTCAGTAGAGTTTCCCAGATGAGTTACTTTCAGTTGAGCGTCAAAAGTCATTCACGTTTGCAGTGTACATACGATGATTGGTCTGAAGAATTGTCATCAATATCTCGATCAACAGAGTGTAAAAACCAAAATCAATTGCATTCAAAGTCAATCTACCATTCCTTCCTTTAGTTTAACCTAAGAGTTGAATCATCATGATACGCTCAAACTTACATGATAAGTTTGAGCGTAACCCTACAAGCTGGCGAACAAGTCTGAATCACTTCCTATGATCCTCTTGGTCATTCGGAGCTGAAACTGATGTCGAAGTCAATATGGCCATTCTCTTTTGCCTCACAGCCATCTTCGGTAACTTGCTCGTCGTTAGTGTCATTATCACAGAACCCAGAGATTCCAGGGTCCAAAACGTCACCGTGGCGTGGATCTTAATTAAAAAAGAGTTCAATTTGTTTGTTTGTTTGTTCTGATATATTTCTTTTACAACGAATAATAAATGCAGGTTAGTTAAGTTCGCAAATCAAATGCGTATTGAAAACTGAGGTTAAAATATCATATTACATAAATTGGCGGTGAAGTGCTGTAGACAAGTGGATGCACGGGGGTGTCGCAGATGGTTTTTATTACCATACGAAACAAAAAAATTGGGACTTGAAGTTAGGAAATCGAGAAAAATTTATACAGTATCTCAGACTTCGGATCTTCATCGAAACGTTTACCGCACGAGGTGAGAGGTTTGTGACACCGTCACATTAAAATATCTCCGTGCTACTTTACCTCCAGCGAATACCAGAAAAGTGTTGAAAAACCTTGAACTTACTTAATTGAAAATCAAATTTAAAGAGAAGAAGAGGGTTTCGTCGTAAGAATTTTCCTGAATTTAATTAACCACAAATCCAGGTGCAATTGCGGAAAAATTATGTTTCTAAAGCAGGAACTTTTATAAATTTTATTTGTAACTTTTTTTAACGACAACATAGCTGAAAAAATAATCCAACATAAGCCAAAGGCGAATGTTAAATGTTCATAAGCCTCTTTGTGAAAGTAAGGCAGAAATTCTGCGATAATTTTGTCGTGCACATCCTAAGAAACATTTAATTTTGGTAATTCCGTGAACCCAGCGCACACTTTGCTAATGCAGCAAAGATATTCAAAGACTTGAGTCAGACAGTTCAGAACACTCGCTTTTGTTAAGTTTTTTTCTATAATGTTTTTAACGCATCAAAAAAACCTCAGTTTTTGATTGGAAAATTTAGTAAACAAACTGTGATCCCCGACTGAGAATAACATTGCCTACATTTGCAAACCTTTTGTTGTTATTAAGTAGGGATACTTTAAGATATCTAAGTAGTCTTTGAAAAACCCCTAACATCTGTCCAGAGTCCAGTTTCTTTTATATTAAATTTATGGAAAATTAAAGATTTTAAGAGGGTTTTACCAATCATTTCTTCGATCTATAACAGTCGCAGGCGAGTGAACTACCACTCAATCCTTTTTCAAAGGTAAGAAAAAAAGTATTGTGAAATGTCAACCTTTCAGCCTTGAGAAGCTGA